ACCATTGGAGCCCGGCTTGAGCTTGGAGAAGTGCCGATTGACAACCAGGAGCCGAAACTCATCCTTCACAGTATGATTTCCGCATCTGAATCTGCTTTTGCTTCTCTCTCCATGGAGTAGTTTCCCAATTCATCTGGGTATGGGGAACCCTAGATTTGTATGTTAGGTCTGATTGTATGAACCCAAGTACAGAGTTTATGATTTGATTATATTCGATTGAGGCTTGAATGATTGAATGACTTGAATCCTTATCAAATTCCTGTTGTTTCTGCTTTAACCTAGAATGAGAATATCTGCCTAGGTTGATAGAGCATCCTTAATTGAAGGTAGTGAATTGGCGACTTTAGTCGAGGAGCCAATTCGCTATTTTGTACCGAATTCAATTTGGTAGTGGAGGTTTGGTTCGTTAGGGCCTCAATCTGTTTACTCCGGTGGAGATTAGTCGCCCGCTGGAGACTCAGATAGAGAGGGTCTGGAGACCTTTAGTCGAGACTTCAGACTGTTTAAGAACCTTCTGCAGTATAACTTTCATGGAAACTGAACTTGGTAAATTGCAATCCGGCTTAACTGCAGTCTAGGGGTAACCATATCCGGGTGACCTCTCTCGACTTGAAAGCAACCGTTTAACTTGATTCGTTTGTTTGTTAATTTGGACTTGCACTAAAGTTTCACTGCTAGATAACAAGAATTCACCAAGTAGTCATCAAATCTAGGACCCGGGTTGACATTAAAACCCAAACCCGCTATACGACGCTTTAGGAAGTGGTTACACTTGGCCATTTTCTAGAGTGACAGTAGGAGTTTGTCAATGATATTGTGTAAATTTGTAGATAATTAGATATGGATGGAGGGTGGGAGTGAGTTTCCTAGATCCCAGATCCCACATCAGTTAGTGCCAGATGTAGGGGAGGAGGAGTCAGAAGGTCCTAGTTTAGTTGTTCCTACGACATCACGGATGACTGGTTCACATGGGAGGAACCAGGGCGCTGCATCGAGGGTGGTTTCAGAGGATTTCAATGATCACTCCATCGAGTACGATTTAGATGAGGACCTTCATGTCCCTTCTCCTATCAGGCATGGACGAGGGTCGTCGTATACGACAACATCACGTCCGACTATGTATAGGGATCGAGGTGGGCGGTTTGTGCCACCTTCTCGGGAGGATACAAAGAGCTCTAGGACTGGACGGAGTAGGAGAGGACAGTCAAATGATCCTCGACCGTGGGAGCTTGTTGGCGAGTGTCCTGGTGGACCTACAGATCCTAGCCTCATTAGAAGCTTCCGTGGCCACACTATCTATGCACTTTGGACAGGCACTAGAGACAAATGGGTCATCACTTGCTTTAGCCATACATGAACAGTTGAATATCTGCAAAACTATCGTTTTAGGCATGATGAGGCAGATGAGTGGGTTCAGCAGACAGGGCTCCAACATCTGATATACTCGATTGCTGATGCTTTAATTTTAGCTTTTCTGGAGAGTTGGCAGTCAGACACGAACACCTTTCACTTGACTTTTGGAGAGATGACGATCCTCCTCCACGATGTTGAGTACCTAATCCAGATTCCTGTTGAGGGACGGCTGATGAGCATGACTCGGGAGAAGTTAAACCATGCAGAGTTGGGCTTGTGTAATCTTCTTGAGATGAGCAAACATCAGCTGCAGGGTAGGTCGAAGGCCCCTGGTTATGCTACGAGGGGTAAGTGGTATGACAAGGGTGGTTTTTGTAACACCCTACCCTATACTTTTTGCCTAATCATATTGTTCATACAATTGCAGCGGAATTAATATTGGGTGTTACATTAATTATCAAAATTTACCCAAATAAAATTTCGACATGAATTACTCGCGTAATGGGCTAACAGTTCTTCCATCTAATCATGCAAAATTATTCATCTAAATCCATGCATTCATAGATAAACATATACACTCACTGCCATATGCATTGGCTTTTCATAGCCATAGTCACCGTTTCATGTTACACAACTTCATACTATACTGATACATGCCATAATCGTCACAACTTACATAATTACACAAATATACACATATCATCAACTTTCCACACCTGTGGATAGCTCACACTACATCAGAAGCTAGTATGCACATGAAAAACGTTCTCAAAACATTTTTACAAAAAGGTGTGGATCACTGGCCAAAATCCCGAGTAGTAGTCCAAGCACAGAATAGTTGAAGACTATACCTCATCTTGCCTTCAACTCTTGCTCAGCTCCCACCTATACAACTATCTACTGCTGCTGATGACGATGATCTGCTTACACATGGCATAAGCAGAGAAAAAGGATAAAGAGGGTCAGCTCATAGCTGAGTGAGATAATCATAGCATCGTGAGTTCATAACAGAGCATACCCCTACCATACATCTAGCAAATAAGCCCAAGCACTAGGATCAGACCTCAGGCATCCTACATCCCAATAGGCAAAAGACTCAATCACCTTGACTTATGCATATGCATCTTATCATGTTTTAATCATAGGCGCCTGGCTACTCTCATGCTAATAACTCTCCCGGGAAACATACCCCACATCCCGTCGGATGTAGTCATACATACCCCAACATCCCGTCGGATGTGGTCATACATACCCCACACCACTATGGGTGTAGTCATACCCCGACACCGCTCTGGGTGTGGTCATATCTCATAAGAAATCTTCAGTCACCACCACAAGAGAGGTGTGACTATCATACATATCATAATAGAGTAATAGCATAGGGAGCCCTAATTACTATGTAGTTGACCGTGAGACCACAACACTCATATTTGGTATCCTTATACATGATTCATATCTCATCTTGCTTAATCATAAATCGTTACTTGGACATGTTCTTGACCTGGCCACAATTGGCTCAACATAACCAGGAGTCGTATAATTGCACTTCCTCGGGATAAACCCTCGTGCAAGTCATCCTCCTTAAAACATCATAATATCACCTTGGGAAGTTTATTCCCCCACTTGTGCATCCAAATACAACCACAATATCACATCATGTCAAAACACCTGATCGAACAACCATGAAGTCATATCAACGGTTAAGCCACAAATGGCAACATGTATGCAATCATCAACATAAACAAGGTCCATATCGGATAGGGCAAGTCAATAATATCATACAACCATCCATGGTTCATCATATAGCATAAAAGTCCATACACCCCTAATCATGCCATTCTAATTCACCTAGGTCAATTCTAAGCATCAATATAATTATCGTGATACGACAAACCCGGTATGCCGTGCTAATCCCTCACCAGTTCTGATCGTTCAAACACCGGTTTAACCTTCCCATACTAAAACGTCAATTTCACGAACGAACCCTGAATTAAAATCCGAGACCGTCCTAATATCCCCTGCAGTATCCCCGTCAATGTTAGTTCTAGGCTCCGGGTCAAATTCTCGATAAAAACACATCAAACCCTGCCTGGAGCTAAATTTAGCGATCCCTGCTCCGACCTAAATAATTGACGAAATTCAGGGATTAGAACTAGGGGATTGATTACCTCGCTGCAGGAAGCTCGTATATGAAATTTGGGCTCAATCCGGCTTCCGGATACTCCGAAACCCTAATTTGGCTTATCGAGAATTCAAGAAATTCCTGAACCAAAAACTCGTTTTAAAACACTAAATCGATAAATCACGATATTTAGATGAAATAGGCATTACTTACGGGATTTTTGGATCACTAAAGTTCAAGAATCAAGCTGTGAAAATTTTCCGAGGAGCTCCCCTGTGCGCGGCTCTGTTTCTGCTTCTTTCTCGGTGTTGCAAAACCGGAAATGGAAAAATGGCAGGGGAGGGGGAAAAGTTGTGTATATATCAGTGTTATTAAAACCGAGCCGAGCCGGTCGGCCCGACCGATAAAACCGGCACCCGGTCACCAAACCGGCTCGGCACAGTCAAAAAGCCAGAGCGGTTTCGGGAGCGGTTTTTGGAGCGGTCGAGGCGGTTAACCGCTGGAACCATTCGAGCCGCTTGTCCGGTTTCTCCATTCCGACCGAGTGCCAAAGTACCCAGCGAGCGCAACCGCCGACGCTCTCTCCGGCGAACCCAGCCCTTCCCGTCGAACCCAACTGTTCTCGTCGAACTAACTCCTACCGTCGAACCAGATCCCTTCCCGTAGAACCCAACACCTGCTGGCGAACCAAACTCTCCCCGTCGCCCAACTCCTGAGTGTTGGATTGTTGTGAAGAAGAATCAAGAAAAAAGAAGAAGAAAAGAAATGGAGAGTTTGAGAGAGAGGGAGTGAGGGTGTACGGCGCTGGGGCTTAGTGGGGGTAGGGTTTGGGAGAGAGGGAGAGATATGGTAAGAGTGGGCGGTGCTCTTTCACGTTTAGTGGTTAGGGTTTAGATAAAATTATTTAATTACAATTATATATAATATAATATTAATTTGTAGTACCTGGAAAATTTTATTTTAGTCATTAAATTGTTCAATTACTATCATATGTGTCTTCTATTTTTAATATTATTGTTTATAAGTTATCGGTTCTCTAACGGTTTTTAAACGGCCCAACATCGGTTGGACCACTAAAGTGCGAGCCGTTCATATTTTCGGGTCATTCTCCGGTTCGGTTCTGACAACATTGGTATATATATATAGCGGCTGCTGCCGCTTTTGCTTTGCATTTATTATTTTTTATAATAATTATATATATATATAATATATATATATATATATATATTATATATATATAATTAATACGTATATTTATCCGATCGATCGATAATCCGATTTTCGCCGAAATACTATCAAAACGCTCGATTTTAAATCGCGAACTTTCTAGCGATCGAAATATGGATTTTGCCGGAACGGGATGTTACAGTTTTCTTGTAGAGATGGCGTCTAGATACTTGCAGGCGAACGAGACACTTTCCCCAAAGGCACATTCATACATGTTGATGTTGTTGGGGGTCCACTATGTTTCTAGACAAGAGCGGATACAAGGTTCGTTCAATGGTGAACCTCTTTTTGGATCCATTGGAGCAGGTACCTGAGTATAGCTGGGCGTGAGGGATACTTGCTTGGTTGTATAGACCGCTTGGTCAGGGGTCTCAGACTGGTGCTAGGGGGATGGCTGGTTGTCTCACACTTCTACGGTGTTGGATCTACGAGTACTTTTCGAGTCTCAAGCCATCACACTTCGGGCTAGTAGTCTGTGGATCGGATGAGCCTTGGGCAGCCGACACTAGGTACTGCGACTGATCCTAGTGTGAGGTTGGCGTTTTACCATCGAGCTCTTGACAGCTTGACTCCTACTAATGTCTATTGGAGACCTTTCCATCACCAGCTTCATTAGGTATTGTGTTGGTCTTTGTACACTGGAGTGATCCGATTTGGCGAGGTAGGCGAGTTCTATGATCCAGCCCGTTGCCTCCGATAATTTAGATACCATCAGATGGTTCGCCTTTGCCTCCGTGGCCCCAGTGAGCAGATCGACCAACGGCACCTGCAGGATATGTCATTCAGATTTCAGAGAGTTTCGATGATGCATGGGTTGCCCTTTTGTCCCACATGGTTCACATAGACATGTACTCTCAGCCCTGAAGGATGCATCCATACGAGATGATGCCCGACTATCTTGACTAGTTCATCAGCCACTCACACCGTAAGTCCTCCCTGATGATGGAGATACATATCTAGTTAACTATGCAGAGGTAAGATTTGCATCTTGAACGTTTCAATTTAGAGCAATATAAGTAAACTATGTGTGAACCTAACAATTGTGTTTCTTTTTTGTTGTTGCAGCGTGCTCGAGACCTTTTGTACACTTTTGCACCTGCGGTTCATGGCACAACGGGGATGGAGTAGGAGTGGCTGAAGCTTTAGCGAGGTGTATACAGGATACTGAACATAGTGCAGGATGTGTGGATCGAGTACTAGGTGGGTCAAGGATTCCCCCCTGATATTTAGTATAGATCATTTAGTGGTTTTTCCTTTATTGGTCATATTTGACTTTATATTATGTGATATGATGATCTTTATGGATGTTTGAGTTTAGATGATGTGATATGACGATCTTTATGGATGTTTGACTATTCATGTTTAGTATTATGCACATGTACCTGGAGGATATGTAGTACTTATCTTTGGATCAGATGTTTGACTATTTATGTTTGGATCGGATATTTGAATTATGTTTGGGTCTTCATTCCTCAAAATTTTCACTTTTAGGGGTGCACAAGCAGAATGCTCATGCACATGCAGACCACATGTAGTTTGCTTATGTATATCAGATTTTTCAGCTTTTGCATCACCAAGAGACATATTGTCAAACATAATAAAGAAGTGCAGTGGCAAAATACAACATTCAAAATACTAGGGGTGGACACGTGGTTGGTTAATCCGCGGATTGATATCGATCCACCCGCAAATAACCCGACCCACACGCAGTGGGTGATTGATGTGGGTGGATTGCGGATAGGTAAATCTCCCACCCACACTTATGTGGGTGGATTGAGGGTGGATTGAGGGTCACCCATATGACATGCATCCTATTTTTACATGAAAAAATATTATAGTATCGAATATTCATCATATTTTCGAACTGCACTATAGTCTGACCATATACTTCAAAAGGTGAAGAATAAATAATAGTTTTGACTATTGGTCATTGTGTTGTGCAATATCCATTAGATATTGGATATTGGTATGCAGATTATTGTTAATAACCATTAAATATTGGGATGCAAACTATAAATTATTAATTGTATCAAAATCACAAATTATTGATACAGTCTTGCTAATTTTGTTATGAACTTATTATAAATGTTAGTCAACTTTCTTAATGGCTAGTCGGAGAATTGCTTTTGCGGGTTGACCAGCGACCCAACCGCACCCATCCGCCACCCATCCAACCCAATGCGCAGAAGTATGTGTGTGGATTGCGGGTCACAATTATTTCAACCCGCTAGTAAGCGGGTGGGTCAATTTGAGACCAAAATCCACCCAACCCGCCCATTGCCCACCCCTACAAAATAGACCTAGAACAACATACAAATATGGACATGACAACACTATGTATTGCCCCTACCCCTACCTCTACGGGGGTCTCTCTGCCTGGCTCGTTGGTGACCAACAAGACTCGCCCACAAATATTGCCCAGCCTGGAGACTAGTTCCCCACTCTACCACATTAGGCTGTGCTAGCCCCTGCCACTGTGGATGGAGAGGACGTATGGGAAACTGATCCTCGTTGAAGTACAATCGAATGTACTGGTTGTTCACTTAATGAAGTGTTAAGAACATGGTTGGTGGTGCTATACCATACTTTGCATCAATAGGCAATACAGTGTATGCCTCTAGGTAGAGGTGGGTAGTGGATAGTCTGGATTGAGGGCATCAAATGACTGGTATGAGAAGAACATGATTGTGATTTTCTAGATGGTTGCAAACACGATCAAGTCCTCAGAATCCATCTATCGCCCCAGTGGTGCATGACCCACCTCGAGCTAGTTGATGTGTTGAATGTGACGTGTTGTACCACCATTATACAAGTTCTCGTACTTTCAGTAATGTCGTTGTATTTCTTGGACAATCTCCGATCTCATGAGCATATGGTGACTATCGTCCCCCATTATACAATGATAAAGTGCCCAAAAACCACAGTGGTCATTTGGACTAGGGTTGAAATCGCCTACCCAAAGGCCGAACAAACTCTGGATAAAGCTACTTGACGAGAGGGTAAGAATATTTCCCTGGGGGCTCTAGGATGAGTAATCTACAAACATATACTAAACGATCATTAATACATGGAAAAAATTTACAAACATAAATCAGTTACCAATGTTGGACTACAATATTAAAACATTACAGTTGAAACTCACCTGTATCGTGCTCGTCGGATTCACCTCCACTCGATCGACCCCTGCCACCACTATTCGGGACCTGCCTCCGGTCGAACTGGGACTCGTACTCCTCGAACGAGATAGCGATCTCTCATACCATGAACGAGTACCACTAGTGCTTGTTCGAGGCTTCCCTCTCGTAGTCTCATTCACTTATGGTTCCCTCACATTATCCTCTGTTGGGTGAAGCCCATATAATAGGGCATCTCTTGCATATCTCACTACTTTAGGACCTCTCTCTTACACCTCAACGGTGAGCTGCCTAAAGTGTTGTCATTGAAGCTCAATTTCATCACCGACTTGTTGTTTCAACGAGAGGTTTTAATGATCCAAAGTCCTCCAGAATACATGCAACTCTTGAGCATAGAACTGGCGTCCTTCCGCCTTAGCTCCAACAACCTGGAAAGCACACTTGAGCCCATATGTCGTATGAAAATGACACCTAAAACTGTCCACCAACTCCGCCTCCCCATCTAACATCAGTTTGATTGCCTCATAACTGATGAACCTCCTCAAAAACGTGCACGGAGGCTCAATTTCCCTACTCAGATTGCGGTTGAGTGACTTGTGCAGTTCATTCACCACTTTCCCAAAATTGATGTTCCATGTAGTTGTGGTTCTTCGCAAAACAAGTGTCTATCGCTCCTCTAGAAGATACAAGAAAATTCTTGAAGGAAGAGTGAGATGACTCAACTCTATTCGAGCTCATGTTACCAAGATGGAACACATGTATGATGAGGCAACCACTCTCCTCGAATGTAGTCGACCAATTCTTTGTTCTTCACTGACCAGACCCTCTCAAACTCATTAATCCTTCAAAGAAAACCGTCCCTCGTCCAACTCAATGCAGCTTTGTCAAAATGTTTCTGCCATACCGCTTGATCTACCTCTCTACTTGAAATTCCCCCTAGTAGCATCTCAAACTGTTTATTCACATAGTTGTTGACGTGCCATAAACATAGTAGGTGAACCGTATGTGGGAGGGGGCCGGAAGACCACAGAAACGGAAGAAAGAAAACCACCTTCTTTGTCTGTCACAATAACATTCAGAACCGTCTCATCGAGCAACCCTTTTATACATCACAACATTCCGAACCGTCCACCGACACATGAAATGTTGAAATTCTTCTTGACTTGGGTAACCCAATAATCTCAACCCATCACATGTCGTACATGTTCATCTTGTAGGCCAAGTCGATGAGGATGACATACGGTCATGCATGCAACATCTGAATGGAAGTCGGGTGGGCAAAAAATAGATTGGTGAGCATATTATTAGCATCCTTTTCCAAACGGATATGGTACCCACGATGTTCAGCTTCGTGAAGCGCAAACTGCATAGCACCCATCTCATCCAATCATGCATTGGAATTTTCGTTGTAGATATGTTTGCTATCAAGCTGCACACCCCCTTCAGTATTGAGTGTCGTATTCTGCTGATTTAGTCTCACCCGCGCCTTCCTTGTCAATCTTAACCTCTCTTTTTCAGCCTCACTAAACTGTTTGTTATGCTGGTTATGTTCTGGATACAATACTTTTTTCATGGTTGTGAAACCCTTTATTAGCTCTGGTTGCACGCCTTGTCACTCCTACTATGACCCATGTGATTGGAATATGTTCTTGCCATACTTCTCTAATACATATATGAAACTGGCAATCCGTACCCTTCGAATTAGTATTCTCATGCCTCTCCTTCGTAGGATCTAGTTTATAAGACTTTTCGATCTTACTATATCTGTCGCAAAACATGAAGAGGGCAATAACAGGATGTTGTGCTTATGTATTAAGTTACCATCATCCTCTGATAATAAATAACCCACACAATTGAGCGATTGCTTTTGCAACATCCTTAGCTAACTCCACACTAGCATAATTGATCCTTTCTCAAGTTCCTGTGTGTAATCATAATTGGCTGGCAACCACTCTGAGATTTTCCCTACAATTACAATAAACACATCAATATTCCTGTGAAACTAAATGCTAATTTCAACTCCTACACGTTAAATTCAACTTCTAAAGTCTAAATTTCAACTTTTAAACGCTAAATTCAACTTTTAAACGCTAAATTCAACTCCTAAAATCTAAATTGGTCGACAAATCCAACGACAGACGGTGGGCCGAAAGATTCCGGCGACCGGATCCTGGCCGGGCCGAAAGAATCCTGCGACCATTTTCCGGCGGCCCGACCTGGTTCCGGCCGCAGGATTCTTTCGGCTCGGCCAGGTTTTGGCCGACGAAAACTTTTGGCCCATCGTCTGTCCCTTCAAAATCGCTGGAAAAATTGTTCGAAACTCCAAAAATTGGCA